TCACCAAATTTAACTTAAATTATTTTCTTATACTAATGAACAAAATGAAAGGGTGCTCGATAAAAAATTTGAAAGTGTAAAATTAACGACCACCCTAATATATATATATCTACAAGCGAAGATACAAAGAGAGGAATATATGGGGGCTGAAACTCCCCCTTAGATATTAAATAGAACCATATCGGATGTAAGTACTTCAAATAAATAAAAAATGAGACGTAAAAAAGACTTCGTAAAAATCGACACGCACAATGAATCACGGCAGTAACTTATTTTACTATCCCCCCCTTATTTTTCTTTTCTAGACTAGCATCTGTATGTATATAGGTATAACTTATTTGGTACACGTTCGTCCACACTAATTTGATTATTTGATTGTTAAATTAAAAATAAAAATAAAAATAAAAATTATCAATTTACTTCGATGACCAATACATACAAATATGTATCTGAATATTATATTATTTTTCATTACATGCAATTAACTAATTAATTTTATTGCTTAAATTAAATTTGTTCATAAATACATGGGCCAAGAGATACCCACTCTCTTGATACGTTTCTAGGGCTAAGTGATTGCATTGGGCAAATGTTGTTCACCGCGTCATTGATTACTAGTGGTCGTGCACCATCGTTGATTTACGTAATAAAATATTTAATTATTTGTTATCCAATATTATTATTATTATTAATATATTATATATATTTCCTTATTATACAAATTTTTGTATGTATCATTTCAAGATTAAATTTTCTTCTAAATAAAAATTATATTTATTCTTATCGTTTATCTACTTCCTATAATAGTTACATTTTTCAATACAAAATGAGTTCAAATTATTATGTTTTGATTGCCACTTATTAAATTATAGTGTAATTTGTTATGAAAATAAGCTAATGTCTACTTCTAATAAAAATCAGTGTTTTCTTTTTTTTCATTTTTTTTATCAAATTTAAATATGAAATACCAAAACAATAAAAGCTAGTGGTACATATGTATCTAGCCGAATCACTCAGTTTGAGAGTCAAAAATTTATTTATATAAATAAAACCAATAAAAAAAAAATTTTTTGACTAGTGTTCTGAAGATAAAGTAGATATTAAATAAAAAATCATGGTTATCATTGATTGATGTATCTTAAACGCAAATACATTAGAAAAAACTATAATCTTAAAATCAATACATTAACTCAAAATCTGATATCGACTAAGCATTTGAGTGAATGTAATGTAATTAATTATATTATATCTACAAAATTAAAATGAAATTGACTGTTTAAGTTGTGAACAATTAATTAGTGCAGTGAGGCATAAGGTTGTAGAAACCTATGCGATTATACAAATGAAAAACGTTCTTATAAAATAATACCTAATATTTAAAACCAAAATTTATGTTTCTGGTAATAGGATGATAAAATCTGCATACTTCTGTATTGAAAGGAAATATTGCTAATTCACGTTAAATCGTGAGTGCCTTTATTTATATATGTATCTTTATTTTTTTAATCAAAATTAACACAAGTTTATATAATGAATTCAACTAGATAAACACAAAAAGACTATTCAGCGACAAAATATTACGATAGAACTTTAAATCAGATTTCGATGTTATTTACTTTCATTGTTTTCAAGTTTTTTTAATTCAATTACCATTTACTATCAAGCCTGTCGATCATTTTACTATGAGTCGACATTGAATATTTTTAATAGAGGCGTGCCCAGGATCAAAATGTAGGACAGACTCAATTAAAATTATTTTAATTTATATAGGTACACATTATTTTTTATTTATTTTTTTCGTATACTTTTCATAACATTTTTAAATTTAATTAGAAAAAATGATCATATATTAAAACACAATTTATCCTGTTTGACTTGTTAATAATATTAAAGATATTAAAAAGTAAATAATAATGATGTAAAAATATTAATAACTATTTGAAAACAGGGAAGACCCAGGCCTACCAGGCCTACCTTCTAGGCATGGCACTGACTTTTAACTAATACGAGATAAGGTAACATGATTTGAGGGTTCGCGTGGTCATGTAGATCAATGTGAGATATGTTTTTGTGATTATTTGTAAGAACGTTTCAATGTTTAAATGTTCAACATATTCAGACGATGTTATTTAATAAAATTTCATATTGTACCAAACTGTCATTGTGAAATATATTTACCGCGGTATACTGTCGAATAGCTTTTTCGTAGTTTTCCATTTTACAGTACACAAATGCTTCATCTTGTAAAAGTATTCGCAAACTGTCATCTGCGTTCTCAAAATTGCCTTTCTTTTTTTTATGTTTTGATTTGTTTTTTTTCTTGCTCGTCATCCTACAAAATATACATTTGTTAATAAACTTAACGTTAATATACATAAGCTAGTTATAAATATAAACATATATATGTTTCGGGCAATGTTGACATTTATCTAATGTCGACATAATGTATGCATGTTGGCTAATGTGTAGTTTTTAAAATATCAAAATTTCAATTAAAAAAATAATATAATAATAATAATAAAATAGAGTAAGGTACAATTAGTAATTAGTTATTTTAGAATAATTTGAATACATAAAAATATCACTTGCCACCTATAAATTCATTAATTATATAAAATATATTTCATTTTATAAATGAAATGAATTATCTTCTTGTTTTTCAGAAAATAGTTTTTAAAATAAACAATAAAATTCTATTTTTGTTTCCATTCTAATTAAATAAAAAATGTAAACACAATATAGCACTCATACACAATACATGTGAAAATAAGTTTACTACAGATCGGTATCTTGTATTGTATTTGTATAGCATATAAAGTTATAATAAAAACATCGTCCAAATAAAATATTATACCTACCTAGGAAACCACCCCCTTTTATTTTCCACAATATCGTTAAAATAAATTATAAGTTGAGATTTATTATTGTGATACTATAGTATACACAATACCTACTAACAAAAATTCTTATTGAATTTTTTAGCATTATTCGGATAGGGTTGGAACTTCATGTTTATATACGAAAAATTACAGTTGAGTAATGTCTACATTAGCCGAATGTAACTCATAACATATTAATATATATATATATATATATATATATATATATATACTAGCTGAATTACCCGTCGTTGCCGGGTTTAAGTATATAAATGTATGTAACCTGCCAAGATTAAATTTTGTTAAATCTATTGAAATTTAAATTAATTAAGATTTTTAAAATAATATTTTATACATATTAATTTAGTTTTTAAGATAATGATTATTATCATAACCTATTCGATAAGTTATAGCTTACAACTACCTGAACCTCTCTACAGTTTGGTATTCTGTTAAATACATATAGAATCTCACTTCTCCGAATATTTTACCTTTTGTCAATAAGTTCATGGTCTTTTTGACTTTTAACCGAAACACTCTTGCAATTATATCATGTCGATCATATGATCTTTGACCGGGAAATAAGAGCTCTTTTATCTCGTCCCAGCGAGGATTACATGCAAAAGTAATAAAAAGGTCAAGACGACCGTAATGTCTAACGTAGGTCATAGCATCTTGTGTTCTTTCGTGCATGTACCTTGGCCCACCAGTAAAAGTTGACGGGAGTATAACCATTTGGCCTAACTGATTAGCTTCTATGTCTCGTCGTCCAATCGCATCTTTTAAATGAATATAACTATCTGCACGCAATTTGGCTTGGTTGTTTTTGATGTAATTTAGTCTTTTAGTTTCAATTTTGGCGTATTCATCTACCAAATATAGACTGAAAAGAGAACGATAATTAACTAAATAGTTGTCTTCCCCTTCTCTGACCATTATTCTATATGAGTAAAAACTTGATGCAGAGACAGTTTTTTTAAGCGGTAACTTGGTTTTTGGATCGCGTTGTGGTATATTGATTGCATACCCATCATCCCCCCAACAAAACATTAAAGGATACTGCAGTGCGTCGTATGCTCGATGTATCTCACTGATACGGTGAAGTGAGTTACTTCGGTTTTCGAGGATGATGTCTCTTCGATCAAACTGCTGATCTACTAACACTAAAGCAACTTCATTTGCCGTTGGTGCATTATACCTGCCTCTATGTTCTTCTGGTGGTTTTTTATCTGCATGTATTACAACTTTAAATGACTCTGAAGGAGGTATTTTATCGATGGTAAATTGTAATGATCAATTGTAAATTATGTGGTGGCATGCCTAGTAAATCCAATGAGTTTAAAAACTCTGTTGGATAATTTACAACTTCAGTAGCATCGCAAACTGTATCTAGATTTGTATGACACCAAGTTTTCGGGTAACAAATTTTGTATCTTGAGATTCAATTCGTTGACCTCCACATTTTTTGCTACTAAAATTGCTCTTTCTGCCAGCCACTCATGATTTGTGTATTGTCTGTGTACACTGGGACATATCTGGTCAATGAGAGCATCGTGCGAATAAATGATTGTGCAGAAATCGTTCGGTAATTTTATACATCCCGTTTCATCTGTAGTAACTTTCCCATCTCCAATATCTAACAATTGGTTTGAGAATCTTTTGCACGCAGCTTTTTTTGACTGAATCGAAATCGAAGTATCGAAATCGTTCGCTATCTATCTTTATATATATTTCGACCATGAATTGTTGACAAAGCTTATGCATCGTATAATAACTTAGTCCTGATCGCGTCTAATCATCAACCGATATGCGTAATAATTTTTTGAACTAACATTCTTATTTGTTTTGGCACCTGTTGCGGGATCTTTTTGTTTAATATTTATGCAATACCCGTTATTTACTACCAAAAATAAAATTAATAGTTTTTAAATAGTTTTTAATAGTTTTTTAATAATTTTTTAATAGTTTTATTTAATATAATTCATTTTCAATAGCGCAGTTATCGACCTGGTCAAAAAATATTAAACCGATTTCAACCCTTTAAATTCAAAATTTCGAAAAATCCTTTCTTAGCGCACGTCTACATCATAATAGCTATCTGTATGCCAAATTTCAGCCAGATCCGTCCAATGGTTTGAGCTGTGCGTTGATAGCAGTCAATCAGCTTACTATAATAATTATATTATATATTATATACTATATAATGTTAATAATTAACATTTATGATAGATATGAATTCAGTATAATACGAGTATATAAAATATATCCATGTTTTTTATATTGGATGTTTTTAGGAACTTTAATTATGATAGATTTGTAGGATCATATTGTAAATGTTGAAACTACAGTAACGAATATTGAATCGCTTATTTATTTATGTATAATTTAAACGGGTTATATTCAATCATAATCATTAAAGTGGATAAGTCTAGTAAAATTTGTTCTTAATGTAACGAAGAACATTCAACATACAGTAATAATTTACAATTTGGATAACATACATTTATATAATTCATAATAGCACCTAAATACAATTTAAATTCTTAAACTAATAAAATTATTCATTTGAGACTTAAAATAATTGAAATATTTGAGAACAAATCAATGTTGAGATTATTCACTAGTTACATTAATCTATTAATAAGAACATTTTGACCATGGTTTGAATGTATTATAATAATATCAAGCTTTTAAAATATTAAGATTACGGCTCTAAAAATATATTTACCCTGATGGCTTGAAGTTTAACATCAGTAAGTATTTATTTATCGATCAATGATGTGAACTTAGACCAACTCTGAGTAAGCAACAGTATTTTTCTTCTTTAAAATACAATATCGTCCTATCGCTATTATCAACTGTACCAAAATATTTCTGATACAATATTATAAAACGAGTCGTTATTTCGATTGTTTTTAATTTGATATGATGAAAATAATTGGCAAACTATAGACTAGATACAGGAGAAAAATGACGTACGAGGTGTGCATTTTGTCATTATTTAGCATTGCTAATTTGAGCTTACTCACACCGGAGAAAAACTCTTTTCCAACGAGTTCGGATCGAAATAATTTTCTCGAAAGTATTTTTTCAAATAACACGTGTAAACTCACACCGGGAAACCCTTCTATTCTTGCAAGGTGTGCCTTAAGACTTACGCCATCGCATAGTAGTGGTGATAAGAAAAAGTTCATACAGAGTCGTATTAGAAAAAATATCGTATATAAGTGTGACAAGGGTTTACAAACATTTTTTTTAAAATATCAAAAATATGTATATTGCATTTGTAATGTGAACGTATGTTTTGAAGTTAGAGTTTATCCATAAATGATTGTCGAGCAATGCCTTTAAGGCTATGCATGAGAAGTGTTTTGAACGAACCTATTTCCATTGCTGACAAACTTGCGAAATATATTTGGTACATAATTATTAATTACAATAATCATACTATGTTTGTTTATAGTTTTCAATAATATTGTGTTTAATAATTTGTTGAATAAATGGCCGTCAATTGAAATAAAAATAATTTGCATTTGTGTTTCATTATGACATGGGTTTTAAATAAGATAACAATTTATCTATCGAAGATGATTTTTTTCCTCGATGTTCTCTTTTAGTTTTTACTGATTCTATGATATATTTAAAATTACGTAAATTAAAGTAAATTAAATAAAGTGATTAAGAGTTGACATTTTATTTAAATTAATTTCAAATTATTAAAATATTCAGATATAAAGTAAATTTTACTTACTTCATATTTTGATTACCGTATTTATTAGGAATTATTTGTAACTTTTTAGAGTATCAAAGTTTCTATTTTAACTAATTACAAAATCAATATTAACAAAAAATGAATAACTAATAAAGGTATAAACAGGGTGAGGATTTTATACACACAAGTCATTAAATTTAATGTATTGAGTATGTATAGTGTTTATATATAAAGTAAAAGTGTAGAATATCGATATTTCAAATTTATTTGTAAATATAACTGTAACCATTATGTCTGTATTTAATTGTTTACTATTAATTTATTATATTTAAGTATAGGTATTATTATTATTGTGTATAAAAATTGTTGAAATAGTTTTAAAATACACAGAAAACGTTTACTATATTTTTGAAAAATGATTCAACAAAATTATTTACCGATTTCAAATAAATATGAAATAATTTTTAATCAAATGTAGTGGATTAAACATTAAATTAATTTTACTAACATAATATCATATAATTATTTGTTTTTTTTTTATACCCTCAAGTCATATTACATGAGTCATAATATCAACAAACATTAATTGCGTATTATTTTCATAATTTTATCAATCGTTTTAGTTTAAATCCAAATACCATGTAACTTAATTGTTCATACTTTTAGTCCGAACTATCGTTTTACTCGTACTACACACCATTTCGTTTAGTTTATATCGAATACGTATACAACAAAATCTTAGTAGGACGTTATTCATAAATTAAACTAATTTAACTCTACATGACGCAAAGGATCTGACTTTGGAATGAATGAAATACAATGAAATTAATGGACATTTCATTTTCTAATCTGTTATGGTATTATATTATAATAATGATGAAAATAAAAATTGAGTTATGTTTATTTAATAATTAAAATTATAATAATTCCTGTTTGAAGAATTTATATATTTTGGGCTTCAAATGCTATCGTTTTTGTACTGTGATATTTACTAATATTTTACTGAAGGGTGGACTTTAACGAGTTAAAAATTAAAATTAAGTTTGAACGTTAAGTTAATATTAATTATATTTAATTAAAAGAGCACTTCGTGCACTAAATGTAAGGCTAAATTTCAATTATATAAGTTGATTGAGTTATTATTTAGCTATTTATAATCGTTTATTTTTTCAATACTTCACGGTGAAGCGAGATAAAAAAAATAAATTCGCCTGAACTTCATGTTAAAACTATCGATTTGGACAGCTGGACAGCTAAATAAAAAGTTAAAAAGATTTTAATCATGTCAGTAAGAGAAACTTGTCAGTCCTAATCCTGGGTAAAAACGAGAAGGGAAACGACGATTACCTATAGTTTTATAAAGTATATAAGCCTATAGTAACCTAGTCTTAAATGAAGATAAGCGTTTATTTTCACAAACGAAGCCGGAAAGTTCAGTTAGTATAATATATATGAAATAGGCATACCATATATTGAATTATTATATTAATAATAGAATACTACTTGTATTCATAAAAACATTCCAATTCAAATTTGTACTTAACTTTTTAATGGTTAAAAGAGTAAAAGTTGTTTCGACTCTAGCTACCTCTTGAATGAGTGGTGAAAGAGTGGATTAGATATTTAATGCTCTAACTTCTAAGTGTGGGCGTAAGTCCGAGCTTAAAACAATATCCACATTGATATAATTTTTTAGAAATGCTATTTATTATCGGTGAGAAAGTGTAATTTTTTTTTTCGATCAAGTTAATTTAAATTTTGTTATTTATTTCAACCATTAATTTTTAATTTAATGAAGTTAAAAACATGTATTGGTTAACTTTTGCCTTAACTAACTTTTTCTTGTATTAACTTAACGAATAAAATAATCTTTAACATGCCCAGCCTTGATTTTACGGATATCTGTCTTCAAAAAGTTAAAGTTACGTAATGGCTATAGAGACTATAAACAAAATGATCTTGAGGTTTTAATTTTGTTTGTGTAATATAACTTAATTTCAAAAATATAGAATCAATATGTTGATAAAGCTATACAAATGTTGAGAATGTTTTTGCATTAATTGCGATTTTTCAGATTTTTTGAGTATTTATTATTTTTATTGTTCTTTAATAATGTATTACTTACATTTTTGTTCTGTGTCAAATAATATTTATCGATACATTTCAAAATAAGATTACAATTTATATTGTACTATAGTTAGTTGTGTGTACATATAGGTACAAGGATCTACTGACCTTCTAGTCGAATTCGCTCAGTTTCCGTATGAAACGATCGTCACTGTATCATGGACGTATCGAACTGAGAAATTAATTTACACGGATGAAGAGTCATAAAAACACACCGTTTGAATAGATGCGTGCTGTGTTCGATGATTTATTATCCGCGTCTCTCGGATGAAGGGCGGATGTGCAACGAGGATCTAGGACGAGTATTGACGGGAAACCACGGGTTTCGATGAAAACGAATGTCCGACCGAACGAAATCCTGCCGCGGTTGCAATCCCTTTCCGCGGGGACGTTATAGTTTTTTTTTCGTCGGGTTCATGCGCACCGTTTTCACACTGTTCCCGCGTGTGCTACGATTGTGTTCGCACGTTAACCGACAGCCGGTGTGCAACTGCGCGTCGACGAGTGCACGCCGGGAAAACGAAAGTTTTCCCGGTCGAGTGCGATTATTCCACTACAAGTGCTACAAGTCCCCGGACACGAGTGACTAACGTTTTGTAATACGCAAAGTTTTCGGAACGTTACCGAATCTCCCGCACCCCGCGTATAACGTGCACGATTGGGCTCGACATCACAACAGTCACAGCTCTCCCACTCACTCCCACTCATTGTTTCTCTCTGCCTGTCTTTTTCTCTCTCTTTTTCTCTCTCTCTCTCTCTTTCTCTCTCTGTCACTCTTCCTCTATATCTTACAGAGAATTTATGTATATACGTTATATACATTATAATATTGTATACTCTGTGCACAGTTTAATTGATGTTTCGTGACAGGACTTTTCGTTTTTTCGGTAAAAGTTATTATAAGTCAACTTTTGTTTGAAACTACACAAACGCGCGCACGTGCACAGACGCACACGCACAAGACCACGCACACGCACGCGCGTACAAACGCACACACAAACGGAGACACTAATCTAGGACAAATTACCTACGTTCAGCGTGACCCTCCCGTCGACCGTTACTGTCGTCATCGCCGTGCCGTGACAATACCACCTACCGCGCCTTCGCTCAACCGTACACGACAGCGAAACGAACACGATTACGGTGTCCGCGGGTTAGTTGTCCGGACAAGTTGATCCCCCCGGTCGGGGCGTGATCGGCAGCGGCGTTCCAAAAGTGGAAAACCGGCTAGGGGGTGGAGGGAGGAACGTAAGTGAACACGCGTGTTCGTATCAACCGAAACATTGTACGGTTTTTAATGTAACCGAAACTTACGCGTTGAAATTGAAAGACAAAAGTTGCCGGCGCTACTGTTGTCCGAAGTCGACGGGAAGGGTCGGGCCGCGTTTCGAGTGTTCGCGTGGCCGATCACTGCAGTCCTCCACGGCGAAACAAACAATATCGAATCGGAACACGCACGTGCAAAAGCGATGACGCGTAAAGCTGCGTATGAACATTATTATAAGATCCCGGTTCGTTGCGTCAGACGTGAACCACCATACCGCGCGCTTTCCTACGAGCGAACAACGTCCCTGTACACGCAACACCGGCGAGATTCGCGATCCAACGTCATGTTCCGATGTTTTCCCGGTATTCGCCCGTGGAGGCCTTTTGACAACCGCAGCACCACGTGCGCTCTCCGCCAAGCGTGACCTATACGTTGGTTGAATCTGTCGCATGGCCGTAAACCTTTCACGCCGTGTCCAACAAAAGTCCGTCGCGTTCGATGTTAGAAACAAATCTGTGAACACGGTACGACCAGTCTAATCTGGATGGTTTTTGCTATCGACATCGCATCGGACGCATTTCTGCGCCCGATGTATCCGCTAGGGCTCCCTCCTTTCACTTGAAGGTAGCCGCATCTGCTCCCAACCAAAAAAATATTTCCTTCCTGTTTACTGGCTACAATCAGAGACAATTCTCTATTGGACATGATTAAAAATGTCGTTACGTGTAAAATAAATAAATAAATCTAGAAAAAATTAACCGAACGAATCCTATAAAACTTGCGGTTTGAACTTGAAGGAAACATTTTTCTTATACTTCACTCATTTCAACTATTCTTATTTAAATCTATCGATACATTTTTGAATAGCGTTACAAATGTTTCATTGGTTTTCGGTTGCTTCCTAGTATTTTCACCACGAAACTTCATCTATACGTGACATTGAAAATGTTAGGACGAGTACCCGTGAACTCAACGTTATATTTTACGTGATAAGATTTGCAACAGTTCGTGGTGCGATTGCTTGTATTCAACATATCAGCCCATCTTTCCGAGGAGAAATGTGGTACATCTAAGTAATTGGCACAAATTTAGTAAAAAAATTCAGTGAGAATCGAAACTTTTTTACTCGTAATGGGACGCAATAAGGTTAGGTTGATCGATGGTAAGATCACACACCCGTTGGCCGCACGATTTTAAAAACATATTGTTTTGTTTTTCAACGCATCGGACGCGAAAAACGGACGGACATATTCAGTTCATAAACATTTGAACAAATATAAATAAATATCGTACGCGTCGGACGTAAATAGACTTTAGACAATTTGCGTGTCGAACGCGTCGGATGCGATTCGGATTTATAGTGGACACAACGTTGCAGTCTACGCACTTCGGTACACGCGAGTATCGTATCGGTATCCCAGCGACAACTAATGTTTTATAAACGCCATTCTGCGCCCCCCGTATCCTGTACGCCACCGATGATTATTGCCGACCCCTCGAACCCGTTCGAAATTATAACGACGATAACGAACGACTCGTCCGTCCGTTAGAAATTTTTGATTCTTCTCCGGTTTTGTTCGTCATACCCGTTAAATAACGATACCTTGCGACGCACACTCTTGTCCACGCACCTATTTCAGTCTATCACCGGCGTTGCGTGTGTTGCATCAACGCCGTTGACGACCGCGCGATTGGCATTTGCGTTGTGCTTTTTTACGTTAGCTTTGTAAAACGGTTCGAAAACCGAAACGACATCGAATCTGTACGTCCCGCGGCCGTGAAACCGCGTAATAACATTACATTTTTAGATTAAAATGGCCACGGGCGCACGCAAAATAACGGTCCCACGCGATCGGACGCGTACGGTACACCTATATCTAAATTTAATTATAACGGTAGCGGCACAACGGGTTACTGGCACGTATACCTGTCGAACTGCCGATGCGTATGTCACGCGGTTATGGTCCGGGTCACGCGATCCCCTGACGTCGGCGTTTTCCCGGCGATCGCGTCCCCGTACTGGATCGTGCCGCCGCGGCCCGTTGTGCGCGTATTAATTTGCGAAACTTGTGCAAGCGCAACGACAACGACAGCGAAGACGACATCGTAATAACTATATAATAACGTTAATAACAGTAATAATAATAATAGTAATAATAACAATCATAAAACGGGTAAAGTCACGTCGTTCAAAAAACGTCTCGCGAACAGCGGAGGCGCGTGTGCCCGGGCCATTAAAATGCCGCGGCGGGTAAATCACGGTCGACGACGACGACGATGTCGTCTCTGTCGACAATAATACAACAGTGTACGGGGGGCGGTTTTAAAGGAAACCGAGGGGCCTCCCTCCTCCATTGGCTTGAATTAGGTTTTATTTGTTCAACAGTAAATATAGGTAAGTGATTGAATGTTTAATTGAGTGAGCGAGTGGATAGGAGTAGGGAGATTACTTTTGACCCAAATAATATACGATCTCTAAGGTTTTTAAACCAACGTAAAAACTATTAACAAAGTTTAAATTGCACTAGTATTTTTACTGTGAATAAGGAAATAACTCCCCGAAATGTTCGCTACATTTTGGACCCGCCCCAAAAATATAGTACTCAAGATCCACCACTGATAAAATATATTTATAAGGATAGTATCCTTATGTCCTTATAATATCCTAACATCATGTACGTATAAACATGTTTGTGGTTATATTTATACCACACAGCAAGCCTTTTATCCCACGAAGAAAATATAATGTTAGTTAGACAAATGCTGTGCGATGACCGAGTGCGAAACACTTCTCGGTGAGGGCTCCACATTTGCGAAGAACGAAATCTTACATTGTTATTCGTGTACAATTATTTGAACTAAAATATATTTTAAGACTATTTTTTATTTATTTATTTTTCCGTTTCCTCCGAGAAATTTGATAGTTACGGTTTCGTAAACGTAAAAATCCATCGGCGAACTGGTTCCGCGATTGCGTTGATCTCTGTCATACAGCTGAGCGTTGAATTGAAATTATATTTATCATTTTAACGTATGCGCTGTTCATTAAAACCACCGTTCATAACAAGCAAAATTACTCGTTTATCAAAAGATATAGAAAGCTAACTTACATGTATTTAAAAGATAACTAATCTCCGTAATAGTATATTTGCGAAAATCATTTCGTATGGATAATTTACGTCCTATGTATTTTCAAAAAAAAAAAATAAATATATTTGAACACGGATTTGCTCAATTCATCCAAGTTCTGAGAACACAATCAATTTAATTTAGATATCAGACACTTAGTCCTCTATGTTTATGATAAAATCGTGATAACTCATCGAAAACGAACAATAAAAATAAACTCAACTGTGCTACACATCTTACTCGATGAATTTATGATACGAATTTTCAAAATCTGAGAGTTATTTTACGATTACCTCGTACGTGAAAACCTCGCAGAAAAACATATTATGCTGCCTAGCCCACGAGAATTGCTATAAATAACACAGTATATGTATCGATGTATGTGAGATGGTCGACGGTCAAGGGCTGCACGTACTTCTTTAGACCCGCGGCACAAACAACGAAATACGGACGTGACACGGGCGCCAACCAAATAAAGATTTTTTTTTCCCCTTTTACGATCAATCCGAACTCTTTATTGTCGTCGGATCCGACTCCAACCGAACATATAATAAGAAAGTATGTATATGCGACACAATATATATATATATATATATATTATACGAGTATGTACAAGTCCGGATCGTAAATCACGATCTCGTTCAATTTAATTATTCGTTTCTGCATTATTCAATTGCGCCGGGTACGACATACTGAGCAAAGAACAGTACGCATGACGCGTCAGTGCAATATCCCTGCTAACTGTATCAAATCCTGGTTTAATTTGGATATCTAGTTCAACGATATTCATTGAATTCGTTTTTTTTAGACGTATAATAATATTAAATCACAAAGTTACGATATCATCAAAATTCAATACAACTCGCTAAACTAATATTTTGCTAAAAATAATCGTATGAATAGTAGCGACGGATATTAATCGAGTTTTAAAAATGTTCTTTTAAACATTTGTTGATAAAAATATATTCCTTGCTGAAACTATTAAAAAGGGTAAAAAAAAACATTATAGGCTAAACATGACATAAATGACGTAGTCAGGGTCTTCAAGGGAGACGTAATATAAAATTATAATCAAATTCACATTTCTTTACTTAACAAATCGAATCATCATAACCTTGTAGTACAGCATATACAGATCTAATAGCGACCAAAATTTAATTAATAGTATGTCAATTTATATCAAGCGACTGTTAATGTTATTAAAGCGGTAGCGTATTCTTTAGTATTTTTAATTTTGATGTACATTTCTAATACATACATTCTTAAAGACAAATAATTAGCTCACGAATATTTTATAAGTATAACCTGCTACTAGGAGTGAGTATAATTACTTCAACTGTTGGTTATATATATATTTAATTAAGACGAGGGTACTTAGTAAATGTCTTTGAGCATAGTGTACACTTATTATAATTTGAAAATCAATGCGTTTTCAACACATTTTGAGAAAAATTACACAAAAATCTTCTCCTCTTTATGTATGTCGACATATTAATGCGTTTAACTATATTATCTGAAATGGGTTGTATATAAATGCAGTTTTAACACAGAAGATTATTATTGAAAATTTGAACATGTCTGATCGCGTAACAACCCGACTAAAAGTTATGTTGTAACATAAATTGTAATTTAGACGTTGATATTATTATTTATTATAACACATAAATGAGAATTGAAAAATTAAAACTATCCGAGTTACAATACGTTTACATTTCATGCACATGTATATAAGTACGTTACATTGTAGTTAATTGTTTGATTTATTACACGTTCAATAATGTATCCGGATGACCGGCATAAAGGTTATCCTAAATAATGTTTTGTATAGAATTATTTAATAATATGATCAACAGTACTAATGATTCATAGTATTTTATTATTTCTTTTATTATTTAGTAATATACTAGTTATATCCAAGTGGATTTGTTTTCATCTTTG